TGTGGTGGTATTAGGTTGTGGTTTTGAAGGAGCCATTAGTGCATTATTTTGGAAGCAGTGTCACTAAAGCACTGCGCGAACACAATATGTTTAATTCCTCTCATCTAATGGCGCTGCTGCCATTGGTTGAATTAGGTATGGCTGAGAGGAAGACAGTCACTGAGTTTGTCCTAGATTTCACTGTGTAGGATTTTTATTGCACTCGACCAGGAGCCTTTGGGTTCTGTCGCAAACAATTAATCTCACGGTGTAAATCATCTTATTTTGTTTGTGATGACTCAAATTTAGGTCAGATATGCAAAGTCAGTGGGATTTTTTAGACAGTGAATACAAATCAAACGGGAGGATAGCTGGCATTGGTGTGCTCTGCTATATTTTTATGTTTCAGCTGAGACATTTGGTTGCATTTCCACGAAATTAAAAGACTCTAAAATGAAAAGTTATACAACACAGTCTACCCTCCCAAAAACCTTTAACCGTACTCCCTTCAGAATGAATTTTGTTGCTGGCTCAACAGGCCTTTCTCCCCATGAGCCATGTCAGGGACGCTTCTGCTGTCTCTGGCATCATGTATCCTGCTCCAATGTGCAGCTGCATAAGGATCCCTGGGCTTTGTTATTACCTCCATTTGCTGCTGCCAACAATAACCACTGCGTCGTGTTTTAAACATCTTATTTTTCTACAGCATAATGCTTGCCAAGATCTCTGGCTCACAGAGCTGTTCAAGTGTTTGGGGAGGCGAGGAATGACAGAGACAGCGTGGTGGTGACCTCAGACCTGGGCTGCGGCATGCTAATGTCGTGTCCTCTCTCCTTGTGTGGAGAGTGAGGACTGGGGACTGAACAGACCGTGATATATTTAAGGGGCTGTATTGAACTTTTTGGAAGAAACATGGGGTTGTTAGAACTAAACAAGCGACTTGAGCGCAGGGTGAAGCCCTGAGCAGACACCGGGGTGGTAACAGTTGACTGACATGGTCACATTCCAGAGCAGCTGCCTGGAAAGGATAGGTGATCTAGATAGAAAGCAGATGGGATCCCTCCATCCCCACTCACCATGATGGCATGATGAAGCAATAGGTTACAGACACTGTCTTTTCTCTCTCTCTCTCACTCTGACAACAGTGTCATCATTTTGTGACTTAAACACCATCTGCCAAACTAACAGATTAACACCAAATTTTTCTCTCTCTTTTTTTTTCTTTTTTATCGCCTGCATGTTGTCTGCTGTCTGATCTGCTCCCCTAAGAATGAATAGAATGTTCCACTCGTGGCAATGTATTGTTGCTATGAATAGACGCAGTTCAAAATGGGTCGATTTATAGTTAAAGCACTCATCTGTGCAGCGTATTGCCAGAAGGAGAGTGTATGTAAGCATGCTGTCATCCAGTAACAGATTTGTCTCTGGAGATCTGCCCTTAACCAAACGGCTTCTCATTTGTATGTGGCAAAGTGGGACAAAAAAAAAATGGCACAAGGCAAATTTGATCTGTAATGGTAATGTTTGTCTATTTTTTCTGTATCGGGCCAAATCCAAGAAAAGGCAATGAAACAAAGACTTTCAGAGGGCCACAATTCAGTTCATCTCAGTGTGTGTTGTGCCTTATCCCAATGAACTCTGTGCAGTGTTAATTTTATGTATCATTTGAGGAGGCTTGTTGTACTGAGCACTTGGGCACTTAACACTGCTGACAATAAATTCAAGGAGGACAGTGAAAGGATTCCTTTGTTTCTGTTAGATTTAGTCGCTCTCATTAAAGCACAAAGGAAAACACAGTGAGCAGCTAGTGTACTGAAAGGATGTGGATCTCCACAGAGAGTGAGGTATATAATCACAGTACCTCAGTGTCGCTGCTACAGGAAGCAATCGCAGAATTGCTTAGAGTATTATGAATTTTATGTAGATTATGTTATGTCAGTTATTAATTGTATATTGCATTGCAATATAGATAGTAAAAATCTTGTTTCAAAAAGAAATTTTGATAATCAGCAATTCCTTTAAGGACTTTTTCAAGCTTTTATTTGTTCATTTATTTAATTTTGGAGTGAACATCTTTTATAAAGTCAATATTTTTAGGCTCTAGGAAACAGTGGTGGATATTTACAGACTATCGCCCCTAACCGGTCACGGCAGGTGGCTGCCCCTCCCTGAGCCTGGTTCTGCTGGAGGTTTCGTCCTGTTAAAAGGGAGCTTTTCCTTCCCACTGTTGCCAACTACTTGCTCATAGACAGTTGTTTGCTGTTGAGGTTTTCTGTGTATTATTGAGTCTTTACTTTACAATCTAACAACAAAGATAAATTAAAATTAAATGTTGAAGTGATTATATAGCTATTATGTTGCCTATTTTCTGTTTGATATAATCAAAGAACCCGTTGTCTAGGTGATTGTGGGCAGCGTTGTCCTGTTTTCATGTTTCATTCTAAAAAACAGTTTTAACCTGATTTCAGCATGGTTTAAAAGGTTCTTACTTCCCCTTCTAGACATTTTAATGCCTAAAAACTTCAAAGCTGGTATGTCCTGACAGCTCTTGATCTGACTCTCCTGCAATTTTAAGTAAAATCCCATCCCACCTCACCCTGGCCTCTCCTTCCTGAAGTATGGACACAGGTTGAAAATGTGAGGTAGTAAGTCTTAAGTCGTAAGGAGTAAAATTACAATCCATTTCTGAAATTCAATTAAATCAAAGTTAAGACTCTTAACTTGAAGATACAATTTGATTATGAGCAGTAAAATCAACTAAAAAAAAAAAAAAAAAAAAAAATAGCACTCAGCATTTCCACCACATCCCAACAGTGCTCTGTTGGAGTGTGGAGGTCATTTGAGTACAGCAAACTCATTGTCACGTTCAAGAAACCAAGTTGAACTTTCTGATATGTCACAAAGTTCAAATCTGTGGTCTCTAAATGATACTCACTTGATACTAAGAATCCCAAAGTGTGCCAAGGAAATATCACTTTCCACTAAAACTACCACCAGCTTCATTTGTTAATAAAAGGCAGGATGGATCCATGTTTTCATGGTGTTTATTCAAAATTCTGACCCAACCGTCTAAATGGTGTAACAAAATCTGAGGCTCATCAGACCAGGAAACATTTTGCAATCTCATATTATTACATTTTCATGAGCTCATGAGAACTGTACCTCAGTTTCCTGTTCTTAGCTGACAGATGTTGCACCTGGTGTGGTGTTCTGCTGCTATAGTTCCTCTGCTTCAAGTTTCAGCTTGTTGTGTGTTTAGATGATGACACTATTCTGAATGCCTGGGTTGTAACCCAGGAATTATTGAACAATTTCTGTCAGCTCACACTAGTCTAGCCATTCTCCTCTCAATATAACCTGACTGATGTCAGGCAATTTCAGCCGATGCTTACTGGATATGTCCTCTTTTTCAGACCTTTCTCTGTAAACCTCAGAGATGGCTGTGTGGGAAATCCCAGCAGATCAGCAGTTTCTGAAATACAGAGATCACCTGATCTGGAACCAACAACCATGCCATGTTCAAAGTGACTTAAATCCCTTATTTTCAGCACATCTTCTTGACCATGTCTAAAATGCACAAATATTTATATAGGTGATATAGGTGGTAAATACATTACTTCAGTAAAAATGGTAATGATTTTCTGTTCTCCTTAATGGTGACGAACTTTATTGGTAATCCATTGAGACTTCAGCAACCTCAATAACTCAGTCTCAATTGTCTTGGCTGGAGATCTCGATGACATATGACTACAGAAGCCCCTGCCATCAATAGTGGTACTCTGCGATGTCACCGTGTGCATGCGTGAAGAAATGGCATGGGTCAGACAGAGAAGCCACTTGCCTTGGACAATGGGTTCCCAGTGTCTATAGCTGTGAATGCTATTATTCAGACACATTAATAATCTCTTTTTCCTCACAAAGATTCAACGTTCTGATTATAATGGCTTTATGCAGTGTCAATCTTTTAACTTTGGTACGTATTCAAGCATCGACCGTCCTTAGCTAGGCCCCGTTTATGATTGTTAGCTACAGGATTGTGGAAACAAAGCCCTTCATATTGCCACTGCCACTGGGGGAGCGTAAAAGCACTTCATTGGTGACTCGAGGGAGCTGCTTAAACTTTGTTAGCCAGAGCAGACAGTTCGAACCGCAGGACGCAGCATCCCGCTCTGGTTTGGTTCTCGTTTGTATCTTTTTAAAACCGACGTGAGTACAACTTCTGGCAAATTGTTGTAGAGAGTTTGTTTGGGTGTACTTTGCAGTGGCAGCACTGTTTCTTTAAGGATGCTGAGCTGAGTATGGGAACAGCTGAAAGGTGAGCAGAAATGCATCATCCAAACATAATGCAGGGTTTTGTTATATTTATAGAATGAAAAAAAATGCTTTTACTGGCTTTTTTCTTTTTGTCACTCCTTTGTATGTTTATGTAAAGCTGACTTGAGAAGAAGAATTTGCTTCTGTGGCTGCAAATCTGACCGATGTGTTAGGAGAGACTGAATGAAGTGACAGTGGAAAGATGTGTGTCCTCACAGACTGTAGAAAGCAGAAATAAATTTGTTTTTACTGATTATAAGAAGGATTTTGACCTTGTATTAGTAGTATGAGCACCACTTTCAGTTTTTATGCTGCTGGGTTAATTGGTTTAATTAAATTTCTCTCCCTCTTACCCCTCCCTGACACTCACATCTGTACACACCCATAACATTAACCACTTTCATTCTGATCTCTCCCACAGCACAAAGAGAAAAGAAAAGTTGGCTAATCAAGACACTGCACAGAGGGAACCAAATTCCTGCACAAACATGGCAGACCAGAAGTAAGTCGTTTTAGCTGTAGTATATGACACTACAAGTGCTTCCAGTCCACAGTTTTGTGTGTGGGATGTGTGCGTGTTTTATACACTCTTGTTTCTTGATTTGTGTGACACTGAATTCCAGAGATCTATTTATAACTCTCACTTCTCTACCAGAACCGTGATGTCTGCCCATTCACAGGCAGTGTGAGCACTTTTTTTAAACTGCACTTTATCTTAGAACAGATTTATTTTTCCAGAAAATCCTCCTCTTCCTTTCTGGTATCCATGTTTAGGCTGTACGTTTCTTTCCTCTCTTATCCGATGATTGTGATCAAATCCATGAGCTTTTCTTGTAAATGGAAAATATTACAGGGAATTGTGACTATTCACAAGTCTGCTTAGAAAAGAATAACTTCAGTGCATGTACACTTGATCTCAGTAGCAGTAAACTTCCTTTTATACTTCTGACATCACATGGATAACCCGATTATTTGCTATTTTACCTTCCAGAGACAACATAGACGATTTTAAAGTCCAGACAGCTAAGCACCCTAATATGACTTCGGCCCCATTACGGCCGCATAGTGAACACTCTAAAGACCGGGCATCCAAGAGGCTTTCGACTGAGTCCAATGGGACTAGCGACGGTGGTGTCGGGTCATCTACACCAGTGGAGATTACTGCTTTGGAAGAATCATTTCGACGCTTCGCCATCCACGGCGACACTCGTGCAACCGGCAAGGAGATGCACGGCAAGAACTGGTCCAAGCTCTGCAAGGACTGCGGCGTGATCGACGGCAAGAACATCACCCTCACTGACGTGGACATCGTCTTCAGCAAAGTCAAGTAAGAAAGACACCGACATTATTGCACACTAAGGATACAATTTCAGTTTGGATTAGTAGAAAGTCTTTTCCATCATATTTGGGTTTTACCTTCCAATTTGCAATTGATTGTTTAAATCACTTAGCTGTTGTGTCGCGACAGAAGCACATATTTTATTTATTGCATTTGTCATTTTGTAGATGATTGTTGGTAGAGAATTGCAAACATTTAGAATTGTGGTTCAAAGAACATAAAACTGAAAACTATTTCGTTTCTGTTTCAGAACATTTCAAAGAACTAAATTAATGTTTTTAGCAGGTATCAACCTTATTGTACAGTAACTATGAACACATGAAGGGCATCTAGCTATTATTAAACTAAACTTTAGTCATTAATAAGTAAGTCAGTCACGATCATCAGTTTATAAAGCCATCAAAATATCATAAACAACTCCAAGGCTCGGTTTAGCAGTTTCTGAATTTCATGTTCTGTTTCAGAACACGCTGTTCTTTCTTTTATTAAGGAGACTTGTAGTATTCGGTTGGTCAAAAACAGCAGCTAGAACAAAATGCCAGGATGGCTCATCTTATATTTCCTCAGGCTGGGCTGATTCACCCTTTACTGTGACCTCAATATTATTTCGCCATGGGAGTGAAAAAAAAAAAAGTCTTCTGCACAGCTGTGCCCATGTTTACCAAATGCACCGAAAATCCGGATGCTGTCTAGGCTGGTAACACTTTTAAGGTGAGCGTACATGTGATCCACGCCACATTAAAAATGAATATTGTTCCAGTGTTGTTCACACATAATACAGGACTTGTGTGCAGTAGCACAGAGTAAAGCTGATGTAAGGAGCGGGGTTTTTACAGCATTGGTTTGTGCGACCGTGCGCATGGTTATTTTGGAGTTTTCATTCATATACAGAGAGGCTTTGAACTTGTTTCATCCTGGTTGAATGATCTGAATAAGGATTATTACGCAAGACGGCACCAGAATTGCGGAGTACGGCTGGGAGCCACACTTCCTTGTGTCTACAAGAATGGAGAGAAAAAAGATCTACTCGGGAATCTCACGTTGATTTAGCAGATTTTCCATCTTCTACCTGCATATAACTGTAGTCCAATCTAAGTCATTTTTCATATACATTTACTGGAAGAGATTCCAAGATTATACAGAAATACACTGTTAAACACATGGATGGATATTGAAATGCACCTATCACTCTCTTAGTCTGTCCACTTCACAAAGTTGTCTAAAGATGGAAATGGGAGGGTGGAAAAAATGGGTAATCCTGTCCGATTTCAGGTAGACTTAGTCCAAAATAATATTTTCTTTGAGCACGAGCACAGCAGCGAGAATAATGGCGAATCAGTCATAATACATTCAATGCATTTAAGAGTTTTAAGAGCATTAATAAAATATTCCTTCCTATTTCAGCTGTCTGTTTATACAACAAACAGAAGAATCATTTTTCTGAGCCAACCACATCGACACCTTTGCTGCTGGCATGGCAATTTGTGTTTACATTTACAAATATTTTTCTGGACAGAATGAACTTAGACTGTGAGTCTTGTTTACATCCAGCTCTACTGGTGAGCAGTATTTTGAAGTGTGCAAATAATATGATGGCCCAAATTTTAAGGAACAAAGTACGCCCAATGGCTTTTTGCACATTTTTCTTACAAGTAATTCTGTGTAGTCTCATTAGGTCTCTGGATATGTGTGTGTTTGGTGTGTGAATTTACAGGTGCCGTCATCTGATTCCCTCGGGTTCTAATCCCAGGTGGTGCAGCAGGCAATTCTTTCAAGACTCACAGCTCTGGAGTGTGATCCAGAAAATATTACTGTAAAATGTGAAAAAAAACCCCACACATGTGGTGTTTGTATACCTAGGCGTCACCGACAGTATAAACAGAGATACAGTTCTGGGGGAAGGGCCCTTTTTCATGTAGTTTTTGACTCCAGGCACAGCTGAGTGGGGGAGGGCTGGCATTGCAAGAGATGCAGATCATCACTTTCCTTTTAATCAGTGTTGGAGAATGCATGCAGGAAAATTAAAGATCTTAATGAGGACTGGCAAATTACAGCATGGCCCAGTGACTCATTATTTAGTCTGAATATGGAGGTCTGCTGCACCACATTAGGTCTCTGCTATGCTATGCGCCTGCTTGGAACCAGAATGCTACAACATAATCTGAGATAGATTCATTAATTTGTAACGACATCTTATTTCCAGGGCTTTGGTTGTATTTCCCATAGCCTGTATATAAAAGATGGGTATAGCCACCAAGTCAGAGAGTAGTTTCTAAATGTTTTGAGGCCTCGATCATTCTTGCACCATGTTTTTTGTTTTTTAAAGCGAGGGATGGGACCATATTGGGATAAAGTTTGTAGTATTTTTATGTTTGTGTAGATACTAAACTACCCAAAGTGAAGAACTTTGCGGATGCAACTCACGCAGATGTGTGTAGTCCTTAAAAAACCCCACCGGCACATAGCTTGATGTGCTATGTGTAGATCAAATACTGATTGACTGAAAAGTAGGTCTGAACATGAAAGATAGTGAAAGCAGCTTTTTGTTTTTAGGCCTTTTTGTCTTTATTAGATGAAGAGATGAGATGAAGTGGGGAGAGAGAAGCAAGCGCTTCGTGTTGGAGTCGAACCTGGGCTACTGCATTTAGCCCTGCAGCATATGGTTGCTTGTACCTAAAAAGGGGTTCATCACAAAGAGGTAAAAGCATAAAAAAAAGAAAAGAAAGACCAGTAAAGCAGCATGAGAGGCACGTTTTGAATTTAACACTGTTTTTGGTCTTTTTCGTGGCTGGCTGAAGGACAGGCAACAGCAGAAACAAGACTAACGTACAGACAGGTTGTTTCCAAAGACTCTATTCAAAAGGCTAACATAGCTACCGTGACATCATCCATAGGCATCTGATAAGCCTTGAGATAAGTGGTTCTCGTTTTCATAAAAGAGGATGTGAGGTGCAGTTCTGACTGTGAAACTGCTCATGCATTCCCTAACGACTTGTCAGTCGCAATTCATTAGCCAATGTACATGCCACCGATAACCCTCCCTTTTGATACATAGTATAACCAAGATTTACAAAACAGACTTAATTTTTATCAAGTGGCTCAGACCATAAACCCAGCAGGGAAGTATTTATAGAGATCAAGTCAGAGAGCCATTTTTCGCATAGGACTGGAAGTCTTTTTGCAACCACAGCTATCGCCATGTGGTGTCCTTCAGATACGAATGCAGGTTTAAGGCAACTTACATTGGTTGCATTGTGCAAGCATTGGTTTATAACAAACAGACAGTTGTTATAAAGGGAGACTTGGCTATAGAGTTAAAAACTGCGTTTTCACAAGTCTGTAACCACAGTTAGCCAGTTTGGCATTTTCACACTGAAGCCTGAGTGGTTTGACTTACTGTTGGAGCCAGCCTCAAGTGGCCTTTACAAAAAAATTGGCGCAGATGTTGAATTCATGTTTCATCCCTGGAAGTCACTGCTTGGTTTCCTTATTAGTGAATGTGATCATGGGTAATACATTCAGTCCATATGCATCATATATTCCAAATGGCTGATATATGTCAACAGAGAGCAGGTCAACTATCAGTGTCCCTGCCAAAAATAAGTTAAAATGACCCTCTGACTTCTGTCCTTTTCAACCTCATGACAGCCTCGTTAGTTTCTCATCTTCTGTTTATTTGCACAGATTAGCCTTTTGTATTCTGTGAGGAACTGAACCGGTCAGTGTGGGGAGGTCTGCAGAGAGGAAACACAGCTATGTTCCTTGCACAGGAATGGCAGTTTAAAAGTCCAGTTTCCCCTCTGACAATAGACAGCATGGAACATACTCGGGGGGAATGAAGCTCCCAAATGTTCAACACTGATGGATTGCCCAAACAAAACCAGTCACTGAACAAGTGAAATTAATAATAAACCAAAACATCTCTGTTTACTGTAGCTTGTTTCTATGGCAGCAGGTTGCCAGGGGAGACTGTGTGCTTTATAGGCTGTTGTTTAGGTGTTTAAGTTTATCACCACAGTGATAGCAGTTTGTGTTTGTGTTGCTATGAACTTTTCACATGGAAGTTAAAAATGGCAAATGGCCATTTAAACAAGTGGAGCAATTTGAGATGGAGAAAAATTGACGTGATGCAGGATTTTCAGTTCATACAAGCGGTTTGATCCTCAGATAAACGAGAAGTCAACACCCTTCCAGATACATGGCTGAACTTAGCAGACAGCTACAGTCAAACACATTTGGGTCTAAGTGCATGAGCCGAACACATTATGATGGATGATTTTAAGAGACGGCCTCAAATGCGAGCTACACTCTGTGGAGTTGCTAAGGCGACACATAAGTACTGAGACACACTGGGAGACGTGAAAGTTTTCCCATTGTTTATCTCAATAGGATACCATCTCCATGCTGTCTTACATCTGCCACATTAAAGTGATCACACATGGCTGAGTGTAGACTGTGGACTGTCATCTTAACCTCAAACTGCTCTGAAACACATTAGTACTTGGTACTATGGAGGACCTAAATTCTCAAAAAAGTCAATAAGAAAATGACCATGCACCAGGAAAAATAAGTCAATGTAAGTATTTGTTTAAAAAAATTCATTTAAAAGTTTTATTTTTTCATTCATCTGCTTTTATATTAATTTCCCAATTAGCTTACTTTCTTGTTTAACACTACAGGCTATTTTCAGCTAGACTGGCTCATTTCACCTGACTTGTAACCATTTCTGTTGAAAGTCTTTGAATGACCAACCAAAAGGACCAAAGGTGAATCAACAACACTGTGACTGATAGCTCCTTTATTACCATACTGAAGCAAAATATGCCAAGGGGAATAGCAAAATAAAATAATGAATAAATAGGAAATGCAAAACTAAAATACTACAGGTATTTTAGCCCTAGCAGGTCTTAACATGAGGTAAAAAATACAGCCTCAAATGAACTATAAAACATGACATATCTCATCGTGTCATTATTTATTTAAGAAAGGGCCAGGATGGATGCAAGTGTTTGAAACTCTACACCCTCCCTGCTTTCATAAGAATTAAAAGAGTAAGGTGCTGGTAATCAAATGCACTTGATAACAGATCATGAGCAAGTATGACCACCTCCATAAAAGCAGAAGTTTGTTGTTCTGGTGCATTCAAATGTGTTACCACAATGCCAAGGAATGCACAGCTTAGGTTTGTAAAAATGGATCTGGACAAACTGTCTGGACCTTTGGATAGATGAAACCAAGGTGGAAATCTTTGGCCGTAATTCACAGCGCCAAACTAAACACAGCACATCAGCACAAATACCTCATACCACTTGCTACCATACTTTTAGATGGGTTTGACTTTGGGCTTAATTTTTCAGTTGTCGGCTCTGTGGCACTGTGCAGTCAGTGAGTGGACCATGAAATCATCTGTAAAATAAACTAATCTAGAGGTAAATGTGCAGCCATCTGTCTGACAGCTAAAGTTTAGCAGAAACTAGGTCATGCAAAGGGACAATGTTCCTAACCACACTAGCAAATCTACAAGAGACTGGCTGAAAAAGTCAAATGCCAGACTTTCAACCCAATTGAAATGTTGTGGTGGGACCTTGAGAGAGCTGTACATAAACAAATGCCCGCAAACCTCAATGAACTGAAGCAACATTGTCAAGATAAGTTCCTTCACAACGATTTGAGAGACTGATAAGGTCACACAGAAAAACGATTACTTCAAATTGCTTTTCCTAAAGGTGGTTTTACAAGATATTGAAGCCTGGGGTGTGTACTTGCTTGCTTTGATGTTTTGGCTTAGGTTTTGTTAATTCAATAATGATTTGGTGTAATACATCATGTATTGCTGTAAATCTTCAGTGTATTTAGGGTATTTACCTAATTTTAAGGCCTGGTAAGGACTAGATCATCTTTTTCCTATGACTATACTTTTCGGGGTTAGGTAATATACTATAAAGGTGTTGAAACTCCTACTTAAATATCCGTTCTTTCCTCCTATATTACAGGAAGAAATCCAGTCGCACCATCATATTCGATGAGTTCAAGGTTGCGCTTGGAGAGCTGGCCAGGAAGAAGTATAAAGACAAGACTGGAGAGGAGGCTGAGGCAGAGGTGTTCCAGCTGATCGAGGGGAAGTCACCGGTCATTTCAGGAGTCACAGTAAGATTCGATCGGAAAGTTTCACAAGTTTCACAACACGTCTCCTTTTTCAGCAGTAAAAACTCAAACTTTCTTTGTGAACTTCTTCACAGAGAGCCGTCGCTTCCCCAACAGTCAGTCGTCTTACGGACACCACCAAGTTTACAGGGTCGCACAAGGAGCGTTTTGACGAAACCGGCCGCGGGAAGGGTAAGGCGGGACGAGTAGACATAGTTGACACTTCTGGATACGTTTCGGGATACAAGCATCAAGGGTCGTATGAAAAGAAGGTGACCAAACCCACTGCGGGCAGACCCGTGTGAGGGCGAAGACAAGGAAATAAACATTTGATCAACTACTAGGATGATTTTCTATTAAACGATTACTCATAGAAAGCACAAAAGCATAGGATTTCATATTTTTTCCCCATCCATCTATTTTATGTGTGCGTGTGTGTGTGAGAGCGAGCAAGCGAGAGAGATGTTTTTGAGTTCCTCTCTTCGTGAAGTGTGAGAACTGGAAAACTGTTTACATCTATTTTTACAAATTCATCACCAGCTGGTACATTCCTGTCTGATAGCAAGTTACTGCCAAACACTGAAGAGAACAAATGAGAGAAACTGCTTTGCTATGACTATTTAGGCTTTGTTGTTATGATAGGGCCTTGTATTTATTGAGCACAATGAGCAACATGCCAAGAAAAACAAAAGCGGGACAACAGTTTGGTGAATATACATTTGCACTTTTTAATAGAAACATTTGTTTCCATGTTTAGCTGATTACACGGTTTAGCTTGTTTTGCCATTTCAAAGATAATTGGCACAGGTTTTTGACAGAGATCATTGATTTTTCTCTTTCGAAACCTTAAATTCATTCAGATTTCAGCGTTGTCTGTTCGCCATCTGCACTTAGTAACTGTTTCGTCTTCATGAAATCTGCCGTTTGTTATTTTATGAGCTCACACTTGTCTTTTCAGTAATCTGCCTTTAGTTCGAACCAAGAAAATCGTTTTTTGGGGAGGTTTTTTTGTGAAAGTTAGTCACCCCTCTCAGACTAAATATTTGTGACCTTTATCATACCTTCTTGCTTTTGTAAATACATATAAAAACAAAAGCTCTCCCATGCAGAATTTAACGAGCTTACTTAAAGCTCTTAAACAAAACCTAAAAGGACTTCCCTGTTTTTTCCCTCTTAGTCTTTATCTAGCTTTATCATACCATATTTTATTTAATTATACACAAACTGTTTTGCTAACATGCATTTTAAGTAATAAATTGGTAAAGAGAAAGCTCTAACCACAGATGAGATGAGCCTAACTGTACAAGATTGTATTTTTAACATTTTACTTCCTGATCAGATTTCTATACAGTAGTTCTAATATATTTGTGGTAAGATTGTGTATATTCTAAAAAGGTTAAAGCCACATTAATTTAAGACACTGGCTTCAAGTTTTATTTTCTATTTGTATTATGTATTGCTGTACTTTGTGCATGTTATGTATATTGCATTTGATTCAGCAGCATATAGATGACGGTAGGAGTCTGTCATATTATATTGGAACTGCTGTGCCTGGTGTAGGAAGAGACTACTGGGTGGACAACATTGTGTTGTTAAAAAAAAACATTAAGTAATGAAATTGTGAGACGACAAAATCTTGTATTGTTTGAAATCAATATGTATGAACCTGTACGTGTACAAAGTCAGCTAATGCTCTAATATTTGTTGATAAAAATCTCCTAATGCGCACAGTCATCCAAGGCACAGATTTAACTGAAGAAAAAACAAACAAACGCAGGGATTTTAATGTTTCCTTACACACTGTATCAGAAAAAGGGAAAATTGCAAACGAGTATTATACTTTTGTAGAATATTTTTCCAGCAGAATGACAGATTCATGTCACACACTACTTGTAGCCTCAGCTGATGAAGACTCGTGCATCAAGTGCAAAACTAGCAGCTATCAGTGTGTTTTTGTAGCTTGAGTATGATCCGTTTTCTGTGCTTAATGCCAAATACTGTGCACCTTTTAATGTGGAGAAACAATATTGTCCTTTTTTCCTTCAAATAACTTGTAATGTACTATTATGCCCCAGTGCATGCAGTGTGTTTTCTGTTTGTTTTTTTGTTCTTGTTCTTTAGATCTCTTAAAGTGTGTTCATGATTTGTAGTGCATTATTGAAAATTAAAAAAAGAAAAAAAGAAACCATGCACGCACACCCTGGAACCTCTGCTGAGTAGGTTTTGGAGTGTCTGTTGAAACAGTAGTTATGTTCTTGCTTTCTTTTCTTTCTTTTTTTGTGGAGTTTACTCCCTACAAGTAGTACCAACCAACGATCTGTAACATTCATATAAAAAGAAAAAGAAGACATTCAGCTTGTGTAGCATCCAAACCTCTAACCTGGTTTGCCAGGGCTTGATTTAGTGTTAGCAAGAGGAAAGTGCATGTCTGCCTGCGCATCTCTCCAGCCCGAAGGCAGAGGTATAAATAAAGTCACAGTGCAGCTGGAATCTAGATGCATTCATTCCACTGCGGCGTGCAAAGCAGATGGAGACTGACCTACAAACAGAAAAAAAACTAAAAAAGGAGCCAAAAGAGAGACGATCCCGCCACAGATCCAGGAAATGCATTATGACCTTTTCACTAACACCCCCCCAGAAAATCATTTGTTAATACAACAGCCCTGTCACACACTCATACACAAAGCTTCCTGAATGAATTGCCTTTCCCCGTTACTGTTTACATCGAGTAAATGCAGCTTATGCACATTTTTTTAAATAATAGAAACATTTATAAAAAAATTAAAAAAAAGGTATAGCACTTACTACAATTTTGCAGTAATCTGCAGTAATTTTAAAAATGAAATAATTTAAGCAGTTTATATTTGCTGGCACATGCTAATATGACGGTCGGCATAGTCCTGCTTTGATATTTTTATCCTGGCATGCATCTCTTTGTTCAAATTCTGCATTAATGTTCCCCACTTCCCTTCAGCTCTGCTAACAAGCATTCATTTGTAGCCACCAGAGACCTGCAGAACACAAACACAGGCACATTTAAATCACAAAACCAGCCAACAAGGGGGTGAGTTGAGATTGAGATTACATCAGTTTACTCACACTGAGCATGTAGGTACAACAAAATCAACTGTCAGCACTAATACAGCATTATCTTCTTACCTGTGGCTTTCTTGCAGCATATCTGAAAGTTCTTTGACTTTCTCAGCTTCCTGCACTTTCTTCCTCAGCCCCTCGATCTCTTTCTTCAGTTCCTCTACTTCGGCCTGAGCTTCTAAACACAAACTGGGACACTTAGTAGGGAAAGCAGCATGTTCGCTTATGTCACAGTGGCAAGTACACCCACCTCTGATCTGAGACACATGTGAGCTTTTCATCATAGACTTCAGATATTGGCGTTCTAACTTGATGAGCTGCTTCTGCAGAGCAACGTTTTCCTCTAAAACGACCCTCAGCTGCTCGTTCAGTTTGCCCTGTGTTAGAGTGAACACTGTGAATAAAGTTTACTCTTATGGTTCTCTAAAGCTTGGTGTTGTGTTTGAGCGGTGGATCAACTCACCACCGCTCTCCGAGCTTCCTCCAGCTGAGCGGAGAGGTTGTGCACTTCAGTTTTGTGCTCTTCCTCTCGTGCTGCCGCTTGAAAGCGAAGCGCATCAGCTTCCCGCCGTAAGGTCCTGACCTCAGTTTCCCGACTGGAAATATCGCTTTCCATCATGGAGAGGATCTGGACTGCCTGAGCTGAGGCCAAAAATAGAGATGATAGGAAGACATTCGTTATCTCAGGCTTCTGTAATCAGATAGCGCATTCCTCAAAACCAAAAGTCCAAACTTACACAGGAAGTTGTTGTTTTGATGCAGTGACCTCTCCCCCGTCCAGTGTTTGTCCACGAGGTTGAGGAGCATCTCCAGGGGTTTCCTATAACTACCCTGGGAAGAGAGTTCAGAGATTCCATGAATAGATGTGCAAAGGAAAACCCTGCAGATGAATGAGGAATGATTCACGATGTCATTTGCAAATCAGTAAGAGGATCGAAATAGCTGCCAACCTTTTTTTTCTTCTCAGCTTGCCCAGGCTGGCTGGAGCTCCCGTCTGTTTTGTTGAAGCTGGAGTAGGTTAGTCGTGGAGGATGCAAGATGGGGTTAAAAGGGTCAGACAGATTCAAACCAGGGCGTCGTGGACTGGGAGGCCGGATATTAATAAATGAGGAACTATGACGGAGGCTTTCATCTGGGAAAAATTACAAAATGTGGAATGAATAAAGAAATCATAGCTCAGGGATTTTGTTAAACACAAATTTATTTCCTACCTGGATTTGGGGTAAAATGCCCTTTAGCTGGATGTCTGGTTTGTTTGGGAGAGTCCTTTTGCTTTGGGTTTCCATGAGCAGGTCTACGTTGCTCTATGTAGGGGCCAAAGGACACTTTTGGTCTTTCAGGCACTTTTATTGAGGTGCAGCTTTTTTGATGAGACAGATCTTTCATCTGTGACCCTTTGGACTCAGTGTTATCTGACGAGTTACATGTGGCACACACACATAAAAAAAAATCCCAGTGATATTAATCGACCTTTGACAAGCACGTTGTGTTAAAAAAAAACCACAGGAAAAGCGTTATGTCGCCACCTAGTGGTGATTATACACACTGTCACACGTTGTTTTCATAATTGCTTACTGATAAGGATTTCTTACCTTCAAAGAAAGCTTTATTCTCATAATAATTCTTCTGCAATCTCAATTCTAATAAGATACTGACATAGAAAAAAAACTGCACTCTCCTAAACTAGAAAAATAGGCTTACCAGTTTTAGTGAGTGGATACCTGAGGATGGATTTAGCAGTTTCCTAAAAATAAGAACAGAGCTACTTCATAATGAACTTTTATACTGTTAATGTTATTTAATCTATAGTAACAATAAAAGCACCTGTTTGGGAGTTGAGCTCATCTGTTTTCTAAAATCTTCAGAAACTTTCTCTTTGAAACCTGAAACAGTGGATGGTTTGGATTTATCAGAAGTTAAAACAAAGAAACATGAATTAGTCAGGTTTGATTTTGATTTTTGGAGTTGGACATCTTACCATCGGCCTCCTTGTGAAATGAGTCAGAGACAGCTTCACTTTGCTCTCCATCATTTGTGGCAACAAAGTTCAGCTCAATATCACGAGTGTCGGTCAGGACAGAAAGGCTCTTGGTTAAGCGGTCAGTTAAAGCTGGTCTGCGATCACTGCTTCTGAAAAACCACAAATGACACAGCAAATGGTGCCGCTCGAGCAACCGAGGTTGAGAAGACTCGTCTCGCTGCATTTTCATGTGCTCCACCAGCCCGAAGATGCATAAAACTGCAACAAATCTACTTATGATTCTGATTCATAAAACTGTCAATGTGGGCACACATTTCTGTTTCTTTTTTTCTGCCAATTCAATATATGTACCCACGAAACCTCATCATTAAAAATGAAAAGGATCACTTTATAGCAATGTTTTGTCAAGCCTTACTTAATCTCCTTACTATCATTTCTCGGTAGCTGCCTGTGCTGCTGGTCTGAAGAAATTCTTGTTTTATGAACAACAGCATACACTCAATGGACACTGTATTAGGTACACCTTTTCAACTGCTTGTTAATGTAAATATCGAATCAGCTGTTAACATGGCCGCAACTCACTGGATTTATGGCTCGTGCTCAAATAAAGCTCAAATAATCTCAATCTGGTCGTGACAGTGACTTCACCTTATTGAAATGGCCTCCACAACCACCAGATCTCAATCCAATAGAACATTTGTCGGATGCGGTGGAAATGAAGAGTCACATCATGGATGTGGAGCTGACAAATCTGCAGCAGCTGTGTGATGTTATCGTGTAATATGTCCCAAAATCTCTGAAGAATGTTTCCAGCACCTCGATTAATCTGTGCCATGAAGAATTAAGGCAGTTTTGAAGGCAAAAGGGGTCCAAATCAATACTGGTAAGGTGTAACTAATAAAGTGTCCATGAGTGTATAAGAGAAAAACAGTATTTTCAAAAATATATTACTTATAAATCTGGTATCAGATCTTTATTTGACTCTTTCATCAAACAGAATGAGCTGAAGCTCATTTACATTAAGGATTTTGTGTTCAGCATACCTTCGATCATCAATCAGATTCAAAGAGAAGCTCATCTGCTGAGGAAGAAGTTCAGAAGAGAACTGCATCAAGGCAGATTTACGCTCAGCATCTCTGACTGAACAGCTATCTGTAAATCAACGAGGAGAACTTATTATTTTAAAACCTGACATGAGATGAGCAAATTCTGGGCAACAAAACAACATCTTACCTAGCTTGCGCAGGGTGGGCATGGCATGCGCCAAGTAAAGGCGGTACTGTGGATTATTTTTGGCCAGAGGGTTGAGCCTGAGGTCCAACTCTTTTAACAATGGCAGCTCAAACAGTACTTTCACTTCTTCAAGAGAAGGTATGCAGTTATAATAGAGGATCAGCCTCTGTAGCATTTTTAAATGTTGCACACCCTGAGAACAAACCAATGGAACGGTTAAGATACAGACTCTGCAAATATTATTAGTCATGCAATATATTATATTACTTGATGTACAAAATATACAGTATTGGCCGATATCAGCATAAGAACATGCAGTTTTAGTGTTCAGGGTAATCTTAGGTGTGCTGCAATAGGCTTACATGGGATTTATACTTCAGTGGGTAATTTAAACACTAGCCATAACCCCCCCCACGAAACCCTGCAGCTTCCCTAGAAATGTAACTACATGTTAGGCCAACACAGACTGCATCTACTGTGATTAGCATGTTCAACGAGGACTCACAAATGTCTTCAAATTCCTAGAGGGAGATTGCTCAAACTATCAAATAGTTTATACACCACTACTGCACTTAATCATCTATAATTATTAAACTCTGACTCGTTCTTCAGTAGTAGTATAAATTGTGAATTCCATTTAAAAAAAAAAAACCAATCTAAAACTAACCTCAACTGAAACGAGTGCATTACAGGAGAGATCCAGAGATTTCAGACGGATAAAGTTACTCAGACCATTTCCCAGGTGTCTGATCTTCTCCTCATATGTCCCCGGAAGGCTCAATGTCCGCACGTCGCCTATTTAAACAAAATTTAAAAAAGTAATAACTTTAAGATGTTATGGTGATGTGGTCTGGAGCAGGAAGCATTTATTGCTACGCTAGCTCTCGTTAGCTTATCTACTGATGCTCTGGCCTGGCAGAGTATCTAGCTACAGTACTTTCCAACAGCAAATGTCTGATGTCCCTGTCTCACCCTTAAAGTTAGCTGCTGATTACTCCTACATAGTGTATATATTAGCTTGGATGTAAAGTTACCGAGACACGGGTGTTTTAGCCTTAATCTTTCACGTATCCACTGCTCTGTTAGTGTTGTCAAACACTTCGCCGCCATACTTTTCGAAGTTCTGCTGCCTTCATGGCCTGAAAAATAAATACCGTCTTTCCTGTTTCACTTTTGTTACTGGAGGTTTTATACAAACCGTAAGTAAGTAAGTAAAATTTTATTTATATAGCACATTTCTAGATAAAAGATCACAAAGTGCTTCACAAGGTATATTAAAAAAAACCGTGAAGTATGTTCATTAACTACTACTTCTTGTTATTTGCTAAAGTTGTTAGACGTCAGTTTATTGAGAGTTTGAGTGTACATATTAAAATATAACTTTGAAAATGCAGGTTAATATTTTTTAGTTCGACCAAACATATTCAGCTAATTAATGAGAGCTTTCAGATTTTTGAAAACAAAATTGCATTGTTTCAGATATCTGTATAAAACACGGGCTCAAAAGAAGATGAGAAATAATCAAGTAATCCGTAAAGCATTTCAAACCTGGTGGTCATTTTGGTTAGAATAGTTGCAGAGTTTACGAATAGCCTTGAATGCACCATTTTGCGCCTGCGCATTGCCAAATCCTTGTTTGTCACGTGTCAAAACAAACGGCCGCTGTTCCTGCTGCAATTGTGGTTCCTATCTAAAGTTTGGTGCTGACTGTTTTCTCTGTTTTTCAGTGAAATTTTTGAAATTTTGACACCGTCTCCAGTTTTAATAGCTAACTAAAAACACGCTGATTAAGACTTTGTAATTTTCCTGGTGTTCTCTAGCCGTGTCTCCCAGGATCAATGGCGTCCTATCTAACAGAGTGGGTCACGTCATGTTTCAACATAATTTTGACAGCCACTGCACTCCACTCCTCTTACAAACTATTTAAGGTGGGTATCACTCAATGTAGTATCTGTGTGTGGACATTTAATTGTAGTAAATGAGTAGTTTCTGCTTTTATAAATGATAGTAAACTTAATATCCTTGGGTTTGGCCTTCTTTCCTCAGCTATTTCCCTTTATTTTAGTTTTCTTTTTCTTTTGCATCTAACTTTTAGCAGTAAACCGTAAATCTTTCACTTGACATTTGTGAATCTATCTATCCAGCCAGTATCAAACTTGGTCATTCTCTCTCTGCAGGTCCACAGAGCACCTTCAGTAGGCTTCTTTCTGCTTGGGATCTCTGCAGCAATTTCCCTCTTGCATCCCTCCAGCCCGTACCTAACCTCCCTGCAGAGAGAAGCAGAATGGGCTGCTGAGGTGCTGGCTCCAGTGTTGGTCTCCTTTGATTTCCTTTGGCTCAGTCAGGACCATAACACAGCACAGATTCTCCTCTGTGGTTCTTGCCTGCTGCTCGGACTCTCTGACTGGCTCTCAGGAGATACTCTCACAATTATGACTCGCTGTCTGGGCCTATCATCCCTCTCCTGCTGCCTGATGGTGTGTTTGTTTGCTGGTAATGCTTCAGGGGCCTTTGGGAGCATGGCCCTCAGCCTCCCCTTACTGCTGACTCAGAGGTTTGGAACAAAAACCTTTGCTCCTCTGCTTTTTCCAGCTGCTACAGAAGGACTGATGAAGTGGCTTTTAAAGGGGTCACTGTTGATAGGCTGTTGGGTATCAACTCTTGCTCTTGGCAAGTTTCTGTTTGATGTGACTGACCAAGCTGTCTATTTAAGTTCATAGAAATCTCTGGTATCTAGGACTGTGACAGATGTGACTGACAAACTAGAAAAATGCAGAAATCTAATATGCCTATTAATGTGTCAATATAATAAATAATAGCTCCAGTAATAGCTGGTTCAGCCTTCTCAAGGATTTGACATTTATCTTTTTCCTGCATCATCATGCAGCATTTTTATGGCTCATAATGAGCTTTTGGGGAGTAAACGAAACATGGCAGTAAGCATGTATGTAGTAAAGACAGTGAGTCTGTGTTACTTTATTTAAGTGAAATCTATGCACACTGCCTTTTGATAAAAACAAACATTATACTTGTGTAAATTAATCCCAAGTTAAAAGAACTAGTTACAAAAATCCTGTGTTGAAGGTATGTGGGGGTTTGTTGTGGGCTTGTCTCATATCTCTACCTTTTGCCTCCTTGTCTCCTCTGACCTTTGTCTACCTGCTCTGTGAGACCCATACTGTTTCTATGTGTGTGATGATGTCTTATCCTCACCTCACTAGGAGAGGAATCAAGGATGTAAGAAATAAGTTTGCGGGTGGGGGTGGGGGGTTGTTGAGGGCGGTACCAAAAAGTTAAACATGATTTATGAATTTGAAACGTATCTATTAAAAAACCCAAGAAACTGAAGGTGCCAGCTGAGGGTGTGGGAAGCTGAAACTTTTAATAGGATTTAAAAATTGGATTTTAGGGTGACTGGGATTTCCTATTCCTATTTCCTATAAAAATAAATAAGCGATATAGGGAGGTTCAGGGAAAAGCATCAGGATATGTGGTTCATCGTCTCAGAGAGCACATGTACTAAAGGAAAGCATAGTTTTAAACAGGGAAGAATATAAACAGTAATTTAGAAGAATTTCCAAACATTAAAGAAATAATTCTGGATGAAATTAAAGATGGGAAAATTCTCCAGCATGATAGTACCACAGCATGAATATTACAATAGTCCTTTTTGTAATGCTTGTTTTTGCTTGCCTCTGCATTTTCTGGAACATACAGCCAAACCAAGAGACCATGACTGAAGATACCCTTTTTGTAGAAGTCTACTTAACATATGTTGTGTTTGACTATTCTAAAGATGTCATTTGTATATTTGAACTTCCTGTATGAATTTCCTTTTTAGCAGTGTTCTTCCATCTTCCGGCTCTTCTAACAGTTTTAATGTTGTGGTTTCCAGCTGCCTCAGAGTCTGGGTGATATTTGTTCTGCAAACTCAGCACGATGTCTGTTTAAGAAAAAAAAATCTGCAGTGGCTGAAGGTTTTGGCCCAGCCCTTATCACAACTGTTTGATTCTTATCAGTTAATTTAAAGAAGGAAAAAAAAACTTTCTTGGTTTGTATCAGCTGTCTTGGTACTTGAAACAACCTGGCCTGTTTAAACCACCCTCGTTTCACTGTGTCCCATGTCATTTACATTGACCTTGTGAGATATTGATATTCCTTACAGTCATTTGTAGTGGACGCTGCAGAGGCTCCCTAAAGATTTCAGGGGTGTGAGCAGCTTCCTCAGCAGTTTTTCCTTTTTGCAGTATATGTGCAAGCATCTGTGCCTTTCTCTGGGACTGCCTATGTCAGTCTTCAGGGAAAAGATGAACACTGATGCTTTTTACCATTTTTGTGGGAAATCCAAAATGTTATGGTAATTGTTGCCTTTTAAAGTGTTAGTTTTCTATTTTTTTTTGACCATTTAGAAGTTTGACATTTTGTATTTAACTTGTTAAATAAACAAACATGTAAAACCTGACAGCCATCTCACTGTTGTGCCATCTATCATGGTTAAACCACTTTTTTACTCCTTGAAACCATTCCGATGTTTTCAGATGCATGAAGCTGCAGCTTCTGATTTTTCCGAGCACCTTTTATGGTCACTGTCACCCCTGACTGCGACCGCTGGCATCAAACCTACAACCTCAATCTGTCTCCATGACTGCCTGTATCTGTCACTTCACCACTGCAGCGCATCGGGAAACTGCACTGAGCATGCTCGCTGCAGATGCAGCCTGTAGATGGAGCAAAGGGGAGGAGAGAGGAGAGGACGGTTGGGAAGGAGGCACAGAGGAGCTGCACACAGCTGTGAGATGCTGTTGCAGCTCTGAGAACAAGAGCTGCATGGGAAGAGTCATCACTGGGAATACAGATGGAAGCTGAAAGTGGAATACGAACGATTGGAATGTCGGAGAGTCGACACCAAAGAGGAGAATTCATTTGATAAGGTAAAGAAGTCGAAGCGTTTTATTGTGATGGAACAGAGCGATTGTTACAATAGAAACAATGTTTCACCTCTGTAGAAGTCATTGTGTATTTGCACTAGATTTTGTTATTATGTAACCTTTAAAAATCATTGATATTAAATGTTTTGTTAGTATAAGAGTACAAAAATAAAATTCTGCTTTTCTCCACCTTTGTAAAGATGCGTGCTATTAATGACCTCATTTGTCATCTATAGAGACTCTTAGGCAGCGTGGAGATGTATGCCTTTTACTCCCTTTTGGTCTACATCTTCTACACTGTCTTTAAGAAGGAGGAGGAGGAGGAAGCCTTGGAAGGGGCGTGTGGAGATTCCCCAGATGTACGTCTAGCCATATCATGTCCAGCCTCGGGGGTTCTCTATTGAAATAAATAAATGGGGGGGAACATGCAGGCCATAAGCTCACTAACAAAGGATGTATACAATGCTGCTGTATGCATGTCTATTCTACTGTGTTACTGACTCTTATATATGATGCTGTGCTCAGGAGCCAGGACCTGTTTCCATGGAAACAGGGAGCAGGAGGAGAGATGGCCACACCCCCAAAGTGGGAAAAAAAGCTTGTGCTCGCTTTAGTGAATCAAGTGGGTGCTCAAATAGTCTTTCAGGGCATTTTTAACCATAAAATGAAAGTATTTAGGAATAACACTTTTGTTTTTGTCTACATACATTCCTTGACTCTATTGCTTGTGTGATGCGATGTCATCCAGGCAGCAGCAGTGACACAGATGAAATGAGCGATGAAGATGAGGAAGACGCCCCTGACATCCCAGCTTGCACTCCTCTGGCCGCTTTTCTATCTTTCAAGCAGGATGCTGAGAAGAGAAGAGCTTCCCAGGTTCAGCTCGAAACAACAGGAAAGGTAACAAGTGCCCAACTGATGTAGGACAGAATAACACGAGCTCGATTTCCCCAAACCGGGGCATTCTGCACATTACTAAGGTTTATGTGCGTGTGTTTGTGTGCGCTCTTCGCTGCATAGTTGGCAGAGTCTCCCCTGGTGGCAGTGATGTCCCACTTGCTGAGTTTTCTGGAGCAGTACTCCCATTTCCAGCAACTGCAGCAGCAGGCTGACCAGTACCGGGTCCAGCTGAAGAGGCACCGAGTCCAGCACCGCCGCCAGATGAAGGCTCTCCGAGCCTCCTACCGCCAGCGTCTCCGGGACAAGAACAGCATCATCAGCAGTCTGGAAGAGGCCATCAGCCAGCAACAGTGCCCCAGTCCACTGAGCGAGGGTGAGAGAGCTGGGATGAGGTTGGAGAAAAGGAGGAGATGTGATAGAGGGGGGAGGGAAGGAGCGATGGGGGAAGGGAAAATAAGGGGAACGTGAGATCGCGGTGTATTGTCATGGAGGGTGTGAGACAAAAATGAGGAAAAGGTCAAGGGGCTGTTTCAATAAACGCATCCACTCAGCTGGTGGGAAAAGAGGTGGTGAAAATTACACATGTCTGAAGGTAGATTTATGAGATTCCAGAGTGGGTAGTTGGAGGAAGATGAATTAGCAGGACAATGAATGAAAACGAATGGACTGGGTTCTGTATTTTAAATGAGACAGGGCTCATGTTCTCTCTGTTACAGTGGAGAAAATTCTACAATATTCCATTACTGCTTAAAAAATGTGAAGAGCATTGAGAACGAGAGATTTAAAGCATGATGACTAAGTGTTTTGGTTCATTGTCATGGGGTATTATGTAGTTCAACTACATTTAATGTGGGTGTGTGCCTTTTAAGTTGTCCACCTACCCAGCTTTAGAAAAGAATTTGATTTTATCTAACTGGGAACACAAAGTACATGCGAGGCAGCACTTTTGTAGAAAAACAGGTTAATCAGATTTATTAGGATGCAAGACGTTTGGCAGTAATGATGTCACAGAAGCCAGACAAACACTGTACAGCTGCAACTGACCACAGAGCTTTAGATGTTTGTATCTGATGTGCTTCAGATTTGACCAAATGGCTCTTTGACATCGCAGCAGTGTATTCTCTCCCTTGGTGTTGTGCATATGGTCAGGTTGTTAACAGCTCTGTAGATCACAAGCCTCAGAGGAATACCTCAATATGCATGATAACCCAAACCAGATTATAAGCATCTCTATAAGTAGGTGTGTTTAAGGCCTTGAGTGCTGGCTCTGTAGTTTCTGCATAAAGATACGTGAGTATGCGGTGAGACTTTGTGGTACTTGTGTAGCGACTCAGTGACTCTTTGTCATGAATAAAACAAGGCTGTTAGTGCTGTTTTATTTCCTGCAAATGCACTTACAAGGTCGGGCACATGCTAGGCAGCACGTGTAAACGTGCTGGACTAAAAATAGCCCAAGGCCTACGTCCCAGGGTTACAAGTCTGTCTGGTTTGTTTGTTTAGTGTCATGCAGGACTGGTTCTGTGCCTCTTGGGTGTGCAGCAGGTAAACCAGTTTGTATCTTTGTCTGTGATCTTTCATTCAGTATTTAAACCGAATGGTTTGCCCTGCATGCAGATGACATTTATCAGAGTTTAACATACATTTTCATGCGCCATTTCAAGCTGCTGTCTTAAAATTGACATCGTTACATTAGTACCTCTGCAGCCTCAAGTGCTTGCCAACACATTTACGCCTGCACCACTAATTCACAGCTGTGGCCTCGTCTCCTTTTTGTTTTTCAATATCTTGCACCACCACCTCTTTTTGATACAGCAATGAAATCTGACATAACGCGTTGATAAAATTAGCAAAGAGCCCAGCAAGGAAAATTAGACGTGACAGAACCCGATGAATCATTGAGGAGGAGGAAAGCGATTAAAAGCTGTCGGGCATGCAGCTCAGGTTCTTGTTGGACAATAGGCTCTTTTTTTAATAGGTTGTTGCATTTTTCACATGGTGGGTGAGGGAGCTTTCAGCACACTTTTCATTTTCATTAATATTACAGTCACTTGGAAGCTTTTAGGTGCACTGTAGAAGTGGTATTAAATTAAAATGACTGCATTTAAAAAAGAAAACGAGTGAGTGGAAGTTCAGATGTTATTGATTCTGACTATTTGTGACTGGCATAACATTAATATGTTTACAAAGACCTTGTTTGCGCTTAGGCTGATGATTATAATGGATGTTATTTGGTCCACCAGGTGAGTCTAGTAGTGATGAAGGGGCACAAGCTGGGGTTCACAGGCTGGTGCAGTCCCTGCACGGCCTGCAGGGTGAGAGGAGTAGGCTGAGAGGAGAACTCCGTCTGCTGCACTCCCAGCTGGAGCAGAAGGAAAGGGACAGACACTCTCGAATACAAACCTTTCAACAGCAGGTAGACCACTCCTTGCTAGTTAGCTCCTAGGCTAGACCAATTTAAGCAAGAAAAAATGCCACCTGAAATCCAAAGTTGCTCTTTAACTTTCAGTGAGTTTTTAGATTTTGTTTTATTATGAATGCATGTATATACTAAAAAAGGCTAATCCAGTTAAAGCACAAACATATCCTCTTGGGTGTTACGCTGTCGTTCTGTTATCTATTCTATGCTGCCTTTCTGGAAGGGTCTCTCAAAATATATCACAAAATATAAAAAGTAAAAAATATGTGCACATAAATCATCAGCTTGACATTATGTTACATGTAATAAAAGTACATTTTAGTTTTAAATGTCTGTAAAAAAAACATGGTTTTGTAATTTTGCACAGATTGATGAGCTGAAGAGCTGCATCGAGGAGCGTGAGGAGGAGCTGTCAAGACTGAGAACAGCCACTGTAAGAGCTGCACGGTCAAACTATTGACTTAATCGTTTCTCAAGTCTTTGTGAGTGTCCACTTCATCAGCTGAGCTGCCACACGACCAAGTTAAAAATAGCCAAGCAGTGGTCTGCTTGCCTTGTACAAAACCTTAACTAGAAATTACTTTTAAAAAAAAAACATTGACCTAAATGTATACATATACTAAATAGACATTTTTCTGATAAATGATGGGATTTTTTCTGTTAATATGTTGGTCCTCAGCCTTATGTTTCATGTCCTCAGGGGGCCACAGACTCGGAGAAGCGGGTCCTGTGTCTGTCAGCAGAGAATGAGAGTCTGAAACAGAGCCTGAGCGTAACTCAAGGCCTCCTGCAGCAGCTCTCAACCATCCCCTCCCAGTCGAGCACCATGCTCATCAAGGTGAGAGGGACCAGCACAGCTGAGTGCTCACAGACATTCAGTTTAGGCCTTCTTACACTTGTAATCTACTTTGCTTTAGGAAAATGAGAACCTCCGTGGCAGAGTGCAGCAGCTGGAGCTCTCCCTACAGCAGCGTGCTGAGCAGCTGTCGCAAATGGAGCGACGGAGTGAACAAAGCGAGTGGAGAAGAGGCGAGGAGCTGAGGAAGAGAGAGGACAGAGTGAGAGACCTACAGCTGGAGTTGGATAGAGAGCGAGGCAAGGAGCCCGTTATTAAGGTAAATCTTATTTTGGAGAATTTTTAAAATGGATTTGAACAATGGCCATAAACTTTTCAAGATGATGAAGAAAATGACAGAAATTCTTTGTGACTGATTTCGTAACTTATATTGTTGAGTAGAAACACACATATAAAGAATTAATAATGTAGATAATTTGATTTGGGTATACTGACAATATATTTTCATATTATTTTAGAGAAAATGCCCCTAACTAGATGTATCTTCTCTGCCAGTATGTCACGCAGACCGTGGAGGTGGAATCTCCAGCCACAGTAAAGCAGCTAACCAAAGCCAGACAGAGGAATGAGTTGTTGTCCGAAAGGCTGTCCGGTCAGAATGAGCGGTGCAAACAGCTGGAGGAACAGATCAGGAAGTCAGACGAATACAGCTGTAATCTGCAACACAAGGTGACGAACATTGGCAGTACCATTTGCACAAGTAGGGACAATGTGCTCCACCAATGTTTGAGCTTTTGTCACAGGCAGCAGCAAATAAAGAAATGAATTACCTTTGTTAGCTGTTGGGTGGAAGAAGTTCCAAAAAAGAGGTATAAATCAAAAAACACCCCGTTTAGTTAACACATCATCACAGGATGGATAATCAAAGTCAGAAGGAGGATGTTTCTGTGTTGCTGCTGGAAATTCACAGTTTCATTCACAGAAGAACTGATTGCAGAGCAGAATCTGCACATACTGCAGCAGTCGAGCTCACAGACTGACAAGCTGCTCTGCTGAACCTCTTACAGATTGCGGCGTATGAACAAGAAATCAGTAAACTGAAAGAGGAGCTGCTGAAAGAGATCGGCCACTTGGAGGAGAGGAAGGAGGAGGCTGTGAAGGCTGCTGCAAACTGCTCAGCAGAACACTTTCAGAACCTGCAGGACCAATTCTTCAGTGAGTAACTGAACCTCCAGGAAAAGAACTCTTGGTTTCTCCAAGAGGAATTGAAATAAAAAAGCAACTGGATTTGAAAAAACTGGATTTTTTTTTTTGTTGCCTTTTATCAGGCTTGCAGAAGCGTCTGACATCACTTCCTCCAACTTTACGCTCTATGAAGACAGACTACGCCAGCCTGAGGAGCCAAGTTCGAAATTTCTCAGAGTTTTATGGAGCAGCTATCAGCGAAGCAAAAAAACAGGTATGTGGTGCCTTGAGAACTATGTTTAATAAATTTGCCTATCTGACCAAATCAAAAGGTTTCATGATGGAGGGTTTTTGGGTTTTGTTTTGTTTTTGTCTTTTGATGTTGCAGATTTCAGCTGCTATTAGTGAGATGTCTGAAGCCAACAAAGATCTCCTGGAGAAATACAGGAAAGAAGTCGCACTGCGCAGGAAGTATCACGAGCAGCTGGTGGAGCTTAAAGGTATAACACTGAAAGGTTCAAACTGGCCGCACCAAGTAAAATCAGCATCACTGAGCGAGCTCCCTGTTTGCAGGCAACATTCGCGTGCTGTGTCGCGTGAAGCCAGTGCTAAAGGAGGACCAGCACGGAGAGGACCACTCGGTGGTCGTGACGACGGACCCCAACAACGAGTCCTCGCTCTCGGTGCTGAGCAAAGGAAAGGCTCGCATCTTTGAAATGGACAAAATCTTCCACCCACAGTCCACACAGGAAGAGGTAATAAAGATGACACGTGTAAAGGAAGTATTATTGTACAGCGGGAAGACCGCTAACCTTTATTTTGGTTTCCTCAGGTCTTCCAGGAGATTGAACCTCTTGTGACGTCCTGCATCGATGGATACCACGTCTGCATATTTGCTTACGGACAGACGGGCTCTGGAAAAACCTACACTATGGAGGTAAAACACTGATTACTGTACGTGCTACTCATAATAGACATTTAAAGGTTTAAAATACAAGCTAAGTACCCTTTTTATTTCCAGGGTACTGTGGAAAACCCAGGTATCAACCAGCGAGCACTGAAACATCTCTTCAGTGAGATTGAGGAGAGGAAGGACATGTGGTCTTACAGTGTCACAGTCAGCTCTGTGGAGATCTACAATGAGGTGCTAAGGTACAGCTTTCCTCCTTTTTTTCTTTCGATAGAGCCTTACCTAAATAATAACTACCACTTGTAGATGTGGCTACTTGTATTTTGTATTTTAGAGACCTGCTGAGTAAAGATGGAGAGAAACTGGACATAAAGATCAACCCGGATGGAACAGGACAGCTGCACGTGCCGGGCCTCAGGGTCATCGAAGTAAAGAGCTTTCAGCACATCAAAAAGGTAAAAAAATGTCTGCTTCTCTTCTTTTTATTTGTTTTCAAACACCCACACAGATGCAACTTTTTGAATTATGATTCAGCATTAGAAAAATGATTACACTTATGCTAATTGATTGATTGCTAATCCAGATTCTAGCAACAGCCCGAAGGAACCGGATTACCTTTGGCACTCAGATGAACCAGCACAGCTCCCGCTCCCATGCCCTGCTTTGTATCACTGTTCAGGGCACTGACCTCGCCACTGGTTCCAAAACCACAGGTCAGCTATTAATGCATTTCTGCTTTAAGATGGAACGTTTACACAAGGGTGTCAAACATAAGGTGCGGGGGTCAGAATCAGCACATCAAAAACGCCAATCCAGCCCGCTGGACGGCTTTGGAAAATATAAAGGAGCGAATACATTTTTGGACTTTTGCCTGTATTGTTTTTCAAGTTTTTTCAAGTCCACCCCCACAGCCATTCATGCTATTTTATGTTTTATGATTGAGGGACAGTTGCGGCAGTGAGCTACCAGAAGTCTTTCTGTAATTTTACACATTTGTCATGTAGAAAAATCTTTATCTTGTAGATGTGTTAGTGAAATTTCGCTTCCTTTATCTTACATTTAGATATCTCAGGAATTAAATGTGTAATTAAACATCTTTACTCTGACAGAAAATGGAGTTTTGACTCGTCCAAGCCACTTAATATCACTTATTATCATGGTTTACAGTCTAATACCTACTTTAAATTTAGGTGAGGGCAGGCTGTGAATTTACCCTTTAAAACTGTCTCTTCACACGGGTATCAGTGTGTAAAGGTTGGGATGAGAAGCAGGGGTTAAGTGTATAAGACAAACATCTGGTATGAGTCTTTGTTGGAATGACTGACTTTATTGCTGACATTACTTTTTCGCTCCCCAGGCAAGTTGAACCTGGTGGACCTGGCTGGCTCGGAGAGGGTGTGGAAGTCCGGTGCAGAGGGAGAGAGGCTGAAAGAGGCCCAGAATATTAACCGCTCTTTGCTAGCACTGGGAGACGTAATTCAGGCACTTAGGGCTCGGCAGACACACATCCCCTTCAGGAACTCCCGTCTTACTTATTTATTGCAAGACTCCCTGGGAAAGGGCAGCAAGACTGTCATGGTTGTGCAGGTAAGATTACTGCTCCAGTCCTACTTAATACCTGATTTATAAGCCTGTGATCATTTACAGTAAATATAAATTCTTATAAGGAGCATCATTTTTGTTCAAATTGTTTTACTAAAGGTTTCTGCTCTGGAGAGTAATGTGGGAGAGACCTTGTGCTCGCTGAAGTTTGCTCAGAGGGTGTGCAAGGTGGAACTGGGTCCTGCTGCCAGGAAGATTGAATCGGGTGGAGGACAGTGTGACTGACAGCCTTGAACCACTAGCAATGAATGAATCAGTCAGTACCAGCAAATGAAAACTCCACACTATCAACAAGATTACGAGCAATCGTGCTCAAGGGCTAAATCTGCAGGCGTCTACTTGGCACCAAATGCCAGCCTGCAATCAAGGTTAAGTATTGAGGATTTTATTCTCCGCTTTGCCATTTTCTGCTTCTGTTCCCTTTATTATTATTAAAATCTGCATGCAGGCGTATTTATTCTTCCACTCCGAGTGCCAAAACATCATCTAACTCGTCCCACTGTCAGAACTTTGATGCTTCCTCTGATCACTCTAGCTCAGTTTCTTAAATGCAAAAATCCAGGATCTGTCGTTTCCTGTGATCATCAGTGTTTAGAGCTACAAACCTGCTCATACAGGTTTGATAAGTTTCCAGAGCCACAATATCAGCACTTCACTTTTTGCAGTATTAGTCATTCTGCTATAAATGTCTGTAGTTTGTAGGCTTCGTCGCCAGTGTGGTATATTTTTGAAGGTTGTAGTGTGTAGGAGAGTCTATAATGGGCTATTATTCATATCAATGACATTTATGTCACATGTTTGTGTAGTTTTTTTGTGTGAGTTTCAGATGAGCAGTGACTGAATTTCTTTTTAGATCTTTGATAAGAGTTTTGTGTAAAGAGGGAAGCTGTTGGAGGGAGCAGGTGGCCTTGTATTAGACTGGTAAAATAATCAGCTGTGCAATATCCTCCTTCTCGAGGACAGTTTGGGCCTATTGAAATCAAAGATGCACTTTATTGTGAAAGGATAGGAGCATTTCAGTTCAGGTCCGTGCAGTAGTGAATGTCATACCAAAAATACAGCTTATTGTTCATAACTGTTTGTCATGTTATCACCCACTGATTTAAAACTAACTTTTGAGTCAAATGTAGCAAGACATTAGTGTTGCAGTAACTACCATGAGTGCTTAGGTGTCACTAAATGATGCTTTTCAGAACATTTTCTGAATAAATGTGTGTTTAAGTGTTCTTTCTCTTATTTGATGCTCAGTAGCATTTGACATGCCATCTCCATTTGGATTTTCTGTTGTAGCTCTTACATCTCTGGTCAAATGTTGATGGAACACCATTTACGGAGGACCGAGCAATAGGTGCAATGTGAGGCACAGAGCCTCTGTAGTGTAGTTTCTTTTTGCCCATCAGTCCATTTCCTTACACTTATCCGATTCAGGCTCACCAGGGGTGGAGAAAAAAAAAAGGTAAAAATATCAAATACAATTGAAATGAACTGATATAAATAAGATGCAAGAGACATATCAATGTCATTTAGATGCTATTATCCAGTTTAAACTTTTATGTTCTATGGAAACATCAGTTTACGAGATTATGATTTGCAAATCACTGCATTTTGTTTTTGTTTATATTTACATTTGTCTGTTTTCCTCAGTTTTTTTAAGGCAGCAAAAATTACAAATGAAATGGACAGCAATTTAAAAAACAATATTTTAATTTTACAAAATATTGGCCGTTTCATTAATAATGCATCTCCAAAAAAAACACATATACAGAATGTACTACAAGGACAGAAGCTATGACTCGCCTGAAGACCTGACAGGAAACACTGCTTTACTCCCTGCACAATTAAATCATCCACCTCTGCACAACCCAGATGTGACTGCTGCAGTAAATCTTGGGCATCTCTGTTTAGTCTCCTTGTTTTCTGTCACATCTTGGATTCAGTCTGAATCTCCCGCCTCTGCTCCGATGGCTCCAACGGCTCCGGCCAACTCCTCTTCATGGCCTCGCAGACGATCACCTGGAAAGACATACACACAAACACTCAATCTGACTCATTCATTGACCGCATCCTCTGATCATAAGCTTAAGACAATGTTTTCCATCTTCCAGGTAAGATCTTATTCAGCCTTGTAGATCACAGGAGGATAATGATTTTTTTTAAAACTAACTTTTAAAGATGTATCTGATATTTTTGATGAAATAACATACAATACAAACCTGTCCCTAATACACATTAAAACAAAACCAGGCTTCCTGTACTTTAAATGCTTTTAAATAAAGGTCTTCAGTAATCAGTTACGCACAATAAAAATATGGGAAATCCCCTACTCGACTTAAACCTGTGATGTATCTCTCATTTTGCCTATTTTTAGAATCACTCATCAGTTATGATCACCTCTGATGTTATCAGACAGCTTCAAGCCTCCAGAGTCTGTCAACCACAGAGCAATTAGCCTAATAAATTATGCCCAGCTCAGGCACCGTCATCTCTGTGGCCTCACGAAAATGTAGTGATAAAAGGCAGAAACATAACAGGAAATACTGACGGATGAGCTCAGCGATGGCTCTCTGTGTTCTCCTCTCCAACTTCTCCAGCTTCTTTGCCACATCGCGCTTTAGATCCCTAAATCCAGAATTACAATTTTTAAAAAAAATCATTAACTAAATATCTTAAAATACACCAAGAGTTCATCATGCACCATACAGCTTAGAAAGCTATTTTGAAAACAGGTCTTACCAGTCTGGTTTTCTTGGGGCAAGGTTGGCTAAATCCTGAAGAAAAGGAAAAAGAAAAAACTCAACATGGCAGATAAAAATGCTTCAGTGAAGAAAACTCACGTTTACACAGGGGTACCCACCACTTCCTCAATGATGGGCTCTGGATTAGCTGCCTCTAACTGATCTTTGACTTTATCTTCCACTGCAAACAATAAATACTTATCATTATATAGCCAACAGGAGTCAAAACTACAATCAGTAAGGCAGCATTGACACCAAAAAGGGTTTTTTAAATGTTTTTTTTAAAGGTCGCCTTTGATTGAAGATTTCTTACCTGATGCTGGTTTGGCTTTAGGCACCTGTCTTTCCTTTAGCTCTTCATCCTCTGGAGCGTAATTCCTCAATTTCAGTTCTCTGTGGAAAAAAAAAAACCACTTAATGTGATACTACTATTAGAAGTCTGAATGCTCTTAAAATGCTTTTTTCATACCATTAACCCACACTCTAGACCTCCAGGAGGTGGCAGTGTAGGCAAATATACTCCACCGGAGACTAAAGAGCATAAAAGACCATCTGCAATCCCTACACAGCTGCACATCTAATGTCTAAAGAAGGTTGGGTATAATGTCCCTCTTTATTCCTGTGAACACTTCTGATTAACATGTTCCACCTGCCGCCGGGCAGGAGAGCAGCAAACAGCTGAGGAATTCTTCCCTTGATGTTGAATTATACCGTCTTTCATCACAACTCCACATGGAGGAATTGTTGGCAAGCTTAGCTGACATCTCTGCAGATTAAACCGAGGGTCCAGAGGCAGAGGTAAACTACCGTCTGCCCAAGCACCGACCAAGAGTTATCAGCTGCTCTGAGCTTAACGTGGATTTGTGATGAAGCTTGAGAGCGTACACTCTTGATGCATTCATCAGACTCCTGCTGCTGCCAAAAGACAGACCAATGCCTTGTATGGGTGTGGGCAAAAATGCTAGTCATGTTCTGTGGTTGGACGCCTGAGGTCCACTTTTAATTCACACATCTCTCTTTCTCTACCTCCAGCATATCAGACCTTGAAGGGGCTGTTTTAAGGAGGCACTGTGCTGGTTTGTCCAGCTGATTATTAAAAGGGACTTTTTTTTTAGCATTAAAACTGCAAACACAACAAATAGAAATAAGACATTCTGTTGCACTTATCTGAAAGGAGCACGGCCTGCTGTTTAAATCGTTGCATCTTTGCAAAAGGCACCCAATGAGAAGAAAGTCAGCTCAAAGAGTGCACAAAAGTCAAGTATATGGTAAAAAACGACTATTTGAAATAGTTAATCATGCAAAGCTATTGTAGGAGCATCTACAACGAAAAATATGGACCTGGTAATGAGCTTAACATGTCATCTTTATTTAAAACATCGTTACTGCAGTAAAATTTATGTGATATGCAGAGGTATACTGATAAACTGCTTTAAAAGCAAGCAGAGCAGGTTTTCCTAGCAGCCACAATACACTTCAAAGGTTAGTAGAAGCAGTCATTCATCAGCCTTCATCACGTAAAACTGAAATAAATAGAAATGCTTTCAAAATGATAGCACAACATATCTTCCTCAGGCATCCTGAAGCTTGGGTTGGAGCTCTTCTGTTACCCCTTATCTTCTGACAGCTTTCTACAATTAACAAGCTATTAAACAGGCACAAACGTAGCCCAAAACATGTTGCTACATGTAAGAAACATGAACACATTTAGCACAATCCTCAACTAAATTATGCATTATACTGTGTTTAAATAATTAACGTATATACGGGGCCAGAGGAAAGGGTGGATAAGTGTCACAACGTCAAGCACAAAGTCATTCTAATCTCTACTGTCTAAGAATGGAGCTAAAGTGGCACGCAAAGTTCCAAAAATACAAAAAATTATTCCTGTAGGGAGCAACATCAAGGTAAGTGGGAAGAAAGGAAACATCAGCGTCATCATCTGAGGACCACGTCGTGGAGGTGCTGGAGCCTATCCTAGCCGTCACTGGGTGAGAGGTGGGATACACCTCGACAGGTCACCTGTCTATCACAGGGATTTTGTGCTATTTTTTTAAGAGGGTTTGTCACAGACAAACTGTGCTACGACTCGAGGGAATTATAACCCACTAATCTATCAGGAATCCTCCCCCCGCCTCCAACCCCACACCCCCTTTAGCAGAACAAAAAAAACAGGACAAAGACTTCATGTAAATTTTCGCCCTTCAAAAGCTTTTTGTTCCTGACTGTCTCTTAGTTTTACACTTCCAAACCATGTGACGGTGTTTACACATTTCCACTTCAAGCACACCGTAGCATCAAAGAGAACCTGTGATAAATTCAGAGCTCTGGTCGAAGTCTGGCTTTCTCAAAATGTTTAGAGTGAACTGTTTTTAAGGAGGAGGTGCAGCAGTGTGTTCAAATGTTTGCACTGATAAAGCTATCTGCTTCATCAAACCCCAGTAAAAATAATTCCAGGCTACCAGAAATCCTTTAATTTAAACGTGAAATTAAAACAAAAAACTAACATGTGACAACAATGTTTCCAAGTTCAGATTTCTTAAAACTTGTTTGCCATTTCCAAGAACTCTAAATCTACTTACCTATCTTTAAAAAAAGAAAAGACAGGGAAACACCCTGACACCTAACAAGATCTAACAGGAAAAGCTGCCTGGTTTGGTTGGTGCCTTTTGTGGAACAGGCTTGGAGGAATGCATGATATCACACAGGAAGCTAAAAGGTTCTTTGCAATCTTAATGAATTCATTTTGACATTTGAAACTGGTGAAGCTCTCACAAATTAAAATTGGAATAACCTTGGGACAAACATTTTGATTGTTCTGTTCCCTCATACATTCGTTTAGTCATTTGATGCCCCATGAAATTTTAATACCAATCCCAAGATACATTACACTGGCACCCTGCTAAAGATGAGTCTCAAATTAAAACATAAAAAAAAGAAAAAGAGAAAAAGCCTATAGACTGCATTGAGCAATAATTAGCCTTCGTTGCAGACAAATGTCTAAGTTAGGCTCTTAACCCTACAGCGAGTTTCTCATTCGCATGAAAGAGATCTGCCCTGTTGGACTGGAGGAAAAACAGAGGCACTCCCTTGGTGCCGTCAGTGCAGTCATTAAATATAAACAATGGAAAAAAGGTCCTGTAGGACAGGAAAGATGGCTGCTCCTTCCTACAAATGAACGCACATAAGTTGAGTAAGCTGAAGGTTATTTGAGCAGCTACTAGCACAAGGCTGGGATCCAGCCAAGTGTAAATACTGCATTTCACAACTTACACCGAGACATGCACTGGTGTCTAGATAAAGGGCAGATAAATGCTCTGATGATGTACTTGTGAGTCAGTTTCAGTTCCGTTTGCACAGCTTAAAAAGCCTCAGCTAAAGGGGCGAGTAACAGCAATGAGTGGAGACGCAGTAACAAGCTTTTATGACGAATATTTAAAAGATAACAGCCGTTTGTTTTCTGTGGGAGGTGCAGCAAACCAACCTGTGTT